TGATGTGCCTTTAATAATTGATTCTATATCAGCAAATCAGCAAATGATAAAATGCACAGATATAATAATAAATGGGGAAAGATTACTGATGCTCTAATATATATTTTTATATTTGTCTTTCTTCTTCTTCTAATGCTGTGTTTTTGTTAAAAAAGTCACTGCGCTTGTTGTATAATATCTATAGCTGGATGTTAATATTTATTTCTGTGATGCCCTATTATAATAATGTATTGTTAAAAAATCATCTTGAGAGTAGCACGTAATGTGCCCTCCTCAATTGTAAATATTTTTTTTCTGTCTTATTACACTTTAATCTATTATATAACTTATTGATTGTATCCTATGTACAACATTATGTTGATTGTTAATAAAGAAATTACAAAAAAAAAATTGATTCTATATCAGATTTCTAGAATTCATAAATAATTCATGAACTATTAGTCCAATGAGTATCGAACTATTGGGTCGCATGATGGGACTTAATATCTATGGCGCATTTTTGGGGTCAAAATTCCATATGAAACTTATTGCAATACATCGGGTGACATTTGCTTGGATTATTGTCCAGGCTCACTCATGCATCCATGCATGCATGTATAATTATAACATAGATACTATATAACGCGCGCTCTGATTGGCTAGTTTTCTATGAAAAAGAAATGGATGGATCATAGAGATGGTTCATGCTCACGTCATTACTGTAGGAAAACAAAAATTATACGAAAAACCTGGAACTTTTCATATTTTTCTTGAGAATAGCGATTTATAAGCTTCGTTTTTGAATAATGGCTAATAATAGCCCAAACTTTGCGTTTGACTTTCTAAATTTTGAAGCTACAAATTGTAGCCAAGAGGGAGTGATTGTTTAACCGTGAAAGAGAAAGCAAAACAATATACGGAAAGAGTCGCTTCGCTAATCTAATAAATGAGCGAGATTTGATAAGATTGAAGATAAAGCATCCAAAAAGACAAAGATAGACACTAACTGGTCTGTTTCTACATTTATAGGTAAGTTTTTCAGATTTTAAACAGGTATTTTTTCTACTTAAAATTGATGAACCACGGACGATAAACAATAAAACAAAAGTATAATTTTTGTGACTAGTTTAATATCATTTTTACCTCGTTTTCTTGTAATTCACATCATAGTGCAACGAGAAAAACATTCAAACAGAGCTTGAAAACACAAAGATTGGCCAACTTGATGCAAATCTGAGAAGATTTTATGGCGAAACGTACGGCAAGAAGAGTCTCCTAGGTTTCTGTGACGGCATCGAAAGATACCTAAATCAGCCAATGTTCTCAAGAAATCTTAAGATGTCAACAGACACAAAGTTTTCAAGATCAAACTCGATATGCTGGTGACACACATCTTGTTCAAATCAAGAGTTTAGGCAGTCAACACAAAGCCGGCGATTGAAGATGAAGACCTCTATGAGAAGTTGAAAACATATTCAAGCGTCCAGGGCGTTAGTTCCCGTTCAGAAAACAAGCAACACGGCTGCTAGGTCACAAAACCATGAGATGAGGCCGATTGTATGCAATTTGGACTCAATATTCAGCAACTGTACCATCCAAAAAACGTGCAAGTCGTCGCCTCCTCATCCTTGGCGAATCCTCCAAAATAACTTGCGATTTTATCAAAACGTTTGATCTTTTGACATAGAAAAAGCTTCAAACAAACTTTAAACTTGACATTATAGCCAAATATTTGT